AACAGCTCTTTGTCACACTATCCGACTAATTTGCTGGCTGTGGTCATTTCACGTCAAGTTAGGTCAAGGTCAATGATATGTGTTTGTATGTCTGTGTATGTCTGTGTATGTACTGATGTGTGCACAGATTGGGTTGTGTGTCCTTATTACATGAGTGATGAGATCATGAACTGAGAAGCTTTTACTAAACATGCAGTCAAAGAAACTTCACGAAAATAACTTTAGATGACCTAGGTTGACCTTAACCCTGACCCTGACATTTGTACATCGCAGAACAACATGTTCAATGATAGGTAGGAGGTAAGACTGGCAAAAAAAAAGCGGAAATCAAGGTTTCAAAAGCTCACAAGGCCCATAGCCAACGCTGAACGCAAGATATTGGGTATTCCTCATTTAGGTCATGACATGACCTGAAGAACAAGGTCATATCTCCAAACCCAAAAGCCACAGAAACTTGAAATTTTCAAAGGCGACGCTGAGAAAAGATAGAAAAGCAGCTATCCAAAAATCGGGTTTCTAGCTTTAAAAATGTTCAGTGTAGAGCAGAAAAAAACTAACTTGGGGGGGGGGGGGGTGGCAACCCTCCCCCCAGGTGCGGGCGAGGGTTAAGCCTCACACTTTCTGGGGTATAGGTTAGATTCCTTGCGTAATACTGTGCCATTAAATTTTTTTTCTAAAATAAAGGCATTTTGTTTTATTGTCAAAAGTGAAAAAGCCAGAAATTGTCATCGATTTCGGACGCTGCGGGGGATATTTACATACAATGTCACCCTGCTGGCCTGGATCCACCAGTATGGGTCAGGTGAACTACCATTTCTTTATTAATATTAAAAAAATCATGGCATCCGGGCTGTGACGAAAAATAAGTGGCCTAAATCCGATGATAAAACTGGATTTGGGGGTACCCTAGGTTTGGCTTCTGAGCCTCCGGTCCCCAAGTGAAAATTTCTTAGAGGAGGCCCTGGCGTGGTTCGTAAATTACCGCTTCCGCAATTGGAGGCCCCTAATTGCTTGGAGGCCCCCACTAAATGGAGGCCCCCTTGGACGTTTGGGACCCCAATGGTGATGTCAAAGTTTCACCCATGCGTGGTACGTGCCACGACGGTCACTGAGATGTATCAAAAGTAGTCAATTACGGGGTAGAAGGGATGGGGCTACCCAGCAAAAAAGACTGCAAGCCAATCGGTCCAGCGGTTGCTGAGATATAAGCCTCTCAAAAGCGTTACAGGCCGGGCCGGGCCGGGCCGCTCATACTGAGATTTTTCCCTTATATTGAAAAGACTTCGCTTCGCTCGCTGCGCTCGCTCGCTCGTAAATACTGAACGAGACCGGTGTAAATAAATTTTCAAGACCGAGGTCCTTACTGAATTTTTGAACGAGGCCGAAGGCCGAGTTCAAAAATCAGTAAGGACTGAGGTCTTGACAATTTATCACCGGCCGAGTTTGGTATGTATTTTCCCATACCTGCTACATTGCATGATTAAATCGAGACATCCAGGCATTTAAACGGCACGTGCACTGTACCACACTTTTCAAAGTTTAATGCAATGCTTTAATATTACCAGCCGTGTGGTTCAAGGGGTGTGGTTAAACACGTTGAACCACACGGCTGCTGACGTCACTATCATATAGTTGTGAGCTTTTTGGCAGGTATGGGAAACACCTTCCAGCCCTAAGGCCGGGAATTCAATAAATGTCACCTCGCTTTTTTTTAGCAAAATCACCTCGGGCCTAACGGCCCTCGGAGTTTTCGCTAAAAAACCTCGGTGACATTTATTGAATCATCCCGGCCCCGGGCAGGAATATATTTTACTGTATGCCAACGATAAAACAATTGTCTAGACCGAAGCTCTTAGCGGTTTTTTGAACGAGGCCATCCCAAAATGTTGACTTGGTAATGCATTTTTGACCGTGGTCACTTTGCTTACACCAGTTATTACCACACCCCTCAGGCTAATGTATTTGAATAGGCCAGTCATACAGTAATATATAATACTGAACGAGGCCGGTGTAAATAAATTTTCAAGACCGAGGTCCTTACTGAATTTTTAAACGAGGCCGAAGGCCGAGTTCAAAAATCTGTAAGGACTGAGGTCTTGAAAATTTATCACCGGCCGAGTTTTGTATGTATTTTACTGTATGCCAACGATAAAATAATTGTCTAGACCGAAGCTCTTACTCTTAGCCGTTTTTGAACGAGGCCATCCAAAATGTTGACTTGGTAATTCGTTTTTGACCGTGGTCAATTTGCTTACACCAGTTATTACCACACCCCTCTGGCTAATGTATTTGAATAGGCCAGGCATACAGTAAAGCCGAAAACTGTATTGAAGTTGGTAAACGTGTAAATGTGTCTCAGTAAATGCCGTGAATATCGAAATAAATTGGCTTGTTTTTACTCGTGGGAAAGTTGTAAGACTTTGGTCACGAAAAAATGCAGTGGAGCATACCTTTAGGTTCCAAAGGTATGCTTGGATGGTGGATACCTTTGGTAGGTATCCAAAGGTATGCTTGGATATCTAAAAATTCAATTTTAGGCATGTACTGAAAAGTTGACGTTAATTAGATGATAATGGCGTGAGACATTTGCGAGAAAAAAACGAGTTGGCGAAATCCCCCCCCCCCCCTCCACTGCGGTAAGGTCCTGCACCCTCTCTGAAGGTTCAGGTGACATCCTTCACCAATATTTTTGGCGCTCCTACACCCATGGGATCTCGAGTCGTTCGCGTCTGCATTTGATCATGCGGTTTCACAACGTATTGCTGAACTGACGTGGGATTGATTGGCCATGATGTTTATCGCGTAATCTTATAAAATTATCGGGGACTTGATATCGCATCGCCCATCTGGGCACACTCTGTGACTGCAAGATATAAAAATGTGTGCCAATGGGCAATTTCGCAAAGGTGTGCAGTAGGCAGAACTTTGCAACGCTTTGGCGAGAAAGATGTAGGTAGGTACTTTCACTTTGGCTAAGCGCTTTTGATTTTCTGAAAAGGTGTATGTACGGGGACGGATGGAAATGCGAACTTAATAAGATCTCGCCTTTCTTTTCAATTCGTGTTATTTTCCACTATTTTTCCGTGCATACTACGAATTACGAGTTCCCAGTCCGATGTTCACTTTTGTACCTGCACCTGTTAATCTCATCCCACACTTCCGTCCACGTCCGACGCAGTAGTACGGCCTAATTCCACGAACAGCCCAAACCTCCAAATCCACGGCGCGAACACCTCTCTCGGTGTCCGTTTCCAGAGGCCCGTCCTGCGGCTCTGTGAAAGTCCGCCACTGCGGGACGTGCCGCCGCGTTTGACCCTCCCGTTGACCGCTAGCCGTGACAGGCAGCGTCGATACAGCGGGCCCAGGCGATCGCTATCGGCACGGTAATGCAATGTCGCCAGCGCAGCGATACTAACAGCGTGGTGCAGTGGGGAAAGCTGCCACGGGGACAGCGTAGGGACAGGGATCGATATTTCAGAAACAGTGGAACAGAGGCATATGATATGTAACGGAGGGACAAGGGACTGGAACCAGTGGAACAGGGGGATGTGGCGAAGGGTGGGAACTGGCACCTGAGGAGGGACGGGGCGGGAAGGAGAGGGACAAGCGGGGCCGGTATTGGAGGAACAACGACTGGCTACGGAGGCACAGGGGCTGATGGACGATTGCACGGCCTGATTCCACAAGCACAGCCTAATCCATCAAAACCACGCCACGAACACCTCACTTTCAGTACCGACTTCTGACCTCAGTTTCAGTGCTGAGCGAACATTGTGCCGTGTGCGAAGCGCTGCAGCTTATGGCGAAGATGACAGTGGGTAAATTGGTAGCTGAGGGATAGGAAGCCGGTATTTGACGGATATGGGTGACACCGCATTGGGATCTTTTTTACCCCAAGTGACCTGGCATAAATATGAACGAAATTCTTTCTCACTGATTGTGTCAGCTTTTCGAGTGTTTCTTGCTACTCGGCGCTATGAGACCCAGGACCCAAGTCATTTTATCAGAGTTAGACCTTAATTTGACACCTTACATAACTGAGCATCTCACACCGAAAGCCAATGTTTTCGATCGAAACTGCTTCGAAGCAGTTTCGTGAACACTTCGGTCATGATGGGACCTAGTTACGTGCTTGCCTTTGCTTCCATAAACGTAAAAACAAAACTTTCTTGCGGTAAAAATGGATCACGGGATGCATCGATCTGTGACAGTAGAATGGAGACACTGTGCTTTGTGATTGAAACGCTCGTTGCTCTATTTTTCTTTTTCTATATGAATAGGTATAACTAGAATGTATGAAGGTATGGATCGACAGCGCCGTAGCCCACGCCAAGCAGAGCCAATTACGCACGTATAGTCCATATCCCTACCGTTCGATCGGACAATCCGGGATGAATCGGGAGAGGGTAGAAGCCAAAATTTAGCGTGCCCATCAAAACCCGACACGGTTCGCCCCACTCAAACTGACTATATTAGACCGCGGCTGCTCCTATCAACCGCTCATATGTTTGAGTTCTGGAGACATTCGAACCCGGCCTCTCATGACTACCGAAAGTCATTGGCTCCACCGCCTGAGCGGAATTCTTGCTAAAACACACATGCCTTCCCGAACTGGAATGCTGATATTTTGCATTTCGGAGACCGTATGAGCACTCGCTACTGGAAATATGTCAGCTTACCTGAATACATGGAGAGGGGGATTCTGGAGTTCTGTCTCCGACACCTCGCGGGATCCATGAACACATGTTGTATAGGCTCCGAAACACGTAACCGGGTCGTACAAACACCTTGAATACAGGGAGTGTTGTACGCCTGTCCCGGACACCACACGGAGGGAGCGGGGTCGGCGGGTCGCGCGATGACCCAACCGGTGCTCCAGTTTCACATTTTCTTTTCGGCGTCGGCGTGGCGTGGCCGGCCGTGCTCTGCGGGCCGTGTCGACGGCGCGGAGACGTGCCGCGCGTCGCCGCCGCCCCCTCAGTCGAGCCGAGCAGCCGGCGACGAGAGGCACGTGCCGCCGACCTCAGTGCGCCGAGCCGACCCGTGCCGACCCGCGCCGACTGTGACAGTGTGTCAGGCTGGTCATTGGGTGTGTGGTGGTGGCAGAGGCTGGACTAGACGAGCGGGGAAGCGGAGTGTGTGGACGGAGGGAGAGCAGAGGTGTGGATTTTACCGGAGCGACGCTGACACAGGTATGGAGTGAGCGAGATTTCGGAGGTTTAGTTGAGATCATACATGAGACCAACAGTCTTCGAATTGTGATTAATTGTATTTTATCTTTAACTATTTCCCATATTTCGGAGAACGTAGTTGCACGCCCTGGCAGATCCATGGATCCGCCATGGATCAATGGATCCGCCTTCCTGCAGGAAGGGGCATTTTGGGTAAATCCCCTCCCCCCCCCCAACGCCCGAAATCGACAAAAATTTGCAAATCCGATGAGTTTTTGGAATTAGAAGAGACTCGGTATGCCCCCCTCCGCAGCGTTTAGGTCCACCTTTCTGGATCCGCCAGTGCTTGCACGGTGCATACCCGTTTTAATTATGGAAAATCGGCATGTTTCTTCGTAATTATTTGCGGAGAGACGGGTCAAATGTATAATTTGGTTCTATATTCGTAACACGTCCCATTTTAGACGTGAAATTTCTGCAGGGGTTTCAACACCCTTAGACCGTATCAAGAGAGTAGGTACCTATTGACAATCATCCACCAGTATATCAATTGCTGCATGTTTCAGTCCCTAGCAGTGCACTAGCTGTCGAGAGCATTCACATTTCACACCGTTCTGCAAAGTCGGAATAACGGTGAAGCAGCGTGAATGGAACCATAACCACTAAAAAGCCCAAAATGAGAAAGTGGAATGCGTCATTGTTAGACTGTGAAACTGACTGCATTACACCCAAGAAAGTTACAGCTTTGAAGCACTATTTTCATCACGAAACGCTCAAGTTTTGGGTTGCAGAAACACATTCAACCGTTCAACGCGAATCACTGCAATTGTACAACACCACTGGATGGAGACTGCAACAATACACACTTCCGTAACACCAGGATATGGAGACTACAACGCTACACACAACAGAAGCACCAATATATAGAAGAATGCAGCAGTACACATTACAGTAACACCAGGAAATGGAGACTACAACAGTACACACTACAGTAGCACTAGAGGGATGGAGACTGCGATAGTACACACAGCAGTAGCAACAGGAGATAACACCACGGTACGGAGACTGCAACAGTACACATAACAGTAGCACCAATGGATGGAGACTACAATAGTACACACAACAGTAGCACCAGGGGACAGCACCGCGGTACGGAGACTGCAACAGTATATACACATAACAGTGGCACCAATGGGTGGAGACTACAATATACACTCCAGCTTCACCACAGGATGGAGACTGCAACAGTACACACAAAAGTAACACCACAAATGCGGAAACTACTTTTTTAGCTCTAGAAGTGATTTCATCATATTACCAAACAAATGAAATCGAGATTCTATAGCCAACTCGCAAATGTTGACGCTAAGATCCTGCAATCTGGACATTGTGTTGACGTCACTCATGAGGTCATTGGACGTCGTCCGAGTTTTTTCTCAATGCCCTGAGCAAATTGAGCTGGCGAATCAGAAGAGGCACGAATGACATGAGCTGCCGAGTCGGGTGATATGCAACAGGCTGACATTGCTATGAGCTTGACTTGACCTAAGGTTAACACCAGAATTGACTGTTTCCAAACAAAAAGAAACATGTCGACGCAGTTAAATATGACAAACGTGATAGTAAGTAGGTACTAATCTTGATGCTTTGCGACTGTTGTATCGAATCTATGTTCCCAAAAACCGGGCCCCGACATTATGGGTCGATGAACTGTGACCAGAGGACTTAAAATTGGGTACCATTTGCATTTTGCAGGGTCTTGTAAAGACCAGCATGTCAGTTTCCATCGCTAAAAACAAGCTCGATCAGGACCGAAACGGCGATGTATAGGACATACTCTGCAGCCCCAAGTTCGGGACGTTATGCAACATATTAGGTTTGACGAGGGTTGAATTGATGTGCTGTGCTTGCTTGAGTTGTTGTGTGTGAACGGTACGCTTTCAATGCTTCTTTATCATTCCTTGAACGTTCCATTCTCATCCGTTACTTGATATCCTGACAGCCGTCATCGGTACTCAAAAGCCGCCGTCTCATTGAGTGGCGGTGGGTTGCGCCATTTCAGTTTGATCGTGTTCTGCCCAGTAACTCTAAAACCTGGCTACCGAGCCACTCATTTACGCTTTCATGGCGGCTGTACTGTACGGCATACAGGGAGAAAGTTCACAGGTTACACACACTCGCACAAAAACGAGCTACCGAGTCGTGAATCACGTTCAACAGAAAGGTCGGCATAATTGGCCGGTATAAGTTGAGAGGAAAACGCATATATGACGTGTCACCAGAATTATAACTCTAACCGTCAGAATGGCTGGCGAATGTGATGTTTATCAGCTCGTGGTTGGCTGGCCTTAACCAGGAGCCAAACAGTGCGTGATTTTTTTATGCAAGCACATCATCAGGTCATGCAAAAATTCCCCAATTGTTGATTATGAGAGTCCTTGGTGATAACATCTAGAGAGAACGTATTGCAAGAATGCAAGGCCATTATGGGGTATTGGGACGCAGCTCGACCATTGAGCTCGTGTGCTCTGGAAAGCGTGTCACGATGATCAATGTTGCCACGCCACTTACACACGGCCGGCGCGGCCCGTGGCGCCGTTTTCGGACACCTGAACACTAGGGTTGTTCAAAAAAACCGAATTTTGGAAAAGTATATGGGCTCATGGCTCATGTGGTGCGGTATTCTTTTCTGAGTCCAATGATACCCTTTTTTCCAAAAAGTATTACTGCTAGGCGCTGCTCAAACGGCTTAAAGAGGACCATGTTACACCCGCCGACCGGCCGGTGTCAATAAGGGCGAGAATTCGACGCCGCACGGCGGCGGCAGCGCCTTATCGGCACCGCGCGCCACGACATCTGCCGGGCGGCCGGCTGGGCGGTGGGAAGTTATAAGTGCGTGGTCTTATTGCACACGATCGGGGTGAGCTATCCCATGTTTTCGGGGCGGAAAGTTTCAGTGCAGCATCGGTGCGTCTGCCACGGTGGTCTGTGTCGATGGTATAGAAAATAACTCAAGCAGAGCTCAGAAAAGAATGAATGATTCCGGGTAGTTGCCTCGAAATAATCCGTTTCAAGAATACAGCTGCCTTCTTAACGTACTGTATCACTTGCTAATTCTTCAAAAAGCAAGCTCTGTGCAATAACAGACTTCTTTGCATTACTGTTGACAATTTAAGTTGCTTTTGGACGGTGGCTCGCAGCCCCAATATGCTGCCGCGTAACTCTATTCCAACGACGAAACGGCAACTTAGCGAGAATCGAAAATTTAACGAAGTAGGTACAACAGGAGCTGGCAAGGCTCCTGCATTGGTCTATCCGTCATGAGTGGCACACCGGGGTAATGTGTAACGTCAGGGCAGAGCTGTGTTCTATGCCGGGTCTGGATTCGGGTCTTGATCGGCATCGGTGGGCACGGCCGCCCTGGCCGGACTGCCGGCGTCGCTTATGCTCGAAGGATTGGTTAAACGGCGCTTGATTTATATGAGTAGGTACTCCGGCTAATGTCTCTACTCATGTCTCACTTCGTCACACTGTCAGGGTGGCCACTCTGTCATTCCCAGACATGTTATGTTTTCTTTCGACCCGCTAATCTAAGTTACACCTGGCGTCGATTCTGTTGCCCCAGCATCTGACATCAACGTATCTGAATAATGACATTGGTGACGCATATGCTCGTCAAAGCCACCCCCAAACTTGGACCGATGACTGTCGGGTCTCCTCCATATTCTGTCCTTGTGCATACTGCATTGTCAGCCCCTGCTGTACGTATATCGTGAATTTTCGATTCTCGCGAAGTTGCCGTTTTGCCGTTGGAATAAAGTTGCGCGGCAGCATATTGGGGTGCGAGCCACCGTCAAAAACTAACGTAAATTGTCAACAGCAATGCAAAGAGGTGTGTTATTGCTCAGAGTTTGCTTTTTGAAGAATTGACAAGTGATACGGTACGTTAAGAAGGCAGCTGTATTCTTGAAACGGATTATTTCGAGGCAACTACCCGGAATCATTCATTCTTTTCTGAGCTCTGCTTGAGTTATTTTCTATACCATCGACACAGACCACCGTGGCAGACGCACCGATGCTGCACTGAAACTTTCCACCCCGAAAACATGGGATAGCTCACCCCGATCGTGTGCATTAAGACCACGGACTTATAACTTCCCACCGCCCAGCCGGCGGCCCGGCAGATGTCGTGGCGCGCGGTGCCGATAAGGCGCTGCCGCCGCCGTGCGGCGTCGAATTCTCGCCCTTATTGACACCGGCCGGTCGGCGGGCGTAACATGATCCTCTTTAAGCCGTTTGAGGAGCCCCTAACAGTTAATAGTTTTCAGTAAAAAGGGCATCATTGGTCTCAGAAAAGAATACCGCACCACATGAGCCATGAGCACATATACTTTTTCAAAATTCGGTTTTTTTGAACAACCCTACTGAACACTCGCTGGAAAGGGTAGCAGCGGCACCAGCAGGAGGCGTGTCAGCGGTACCGTGTCACCTTACGACACGGCACGGTCCGCAGTCCGTGTCAGAAAACTGCTCCGCATTGCCTCACGGGGGACAATGCGCGCCCCGTTGGGCAAGCGGTCGACCCGGTGTCGACACGGGCACCGTCGGGTCAGCTCTTTTGTCCCCCGGCGGCGCGTGGCGACTGAAAAGGTGACAAATCTCCGTCACGCCAGTACGCGCTGTCGTTTTGTACAGACGTCACGAGAGGGATGTTTACACAGGCAGCGGCTCATGTAGCGATGTTTACCCAAACTGTATGGGGGATGCTATACCATTGTAAAGATCGCATCTTCCAGCTCAAAGGCCACGTAAGGATGTCGCCCCGGGGTTCAGGTTATGTAGTACATGCATGCAAAATGATCAGTGATTATCCCAATGAATACAACACCTGTTTTAGTGACATATGCATTCAAAATATCATCTACTTACTACTTAGTACTTACATATGAATCCCCTCAATAAAGCTCTTTTATCAATGACAAACTGACATCTGCACGTTTTACCACATCTCTAATTTGTGA